AAAAAAAAAAAAATTATTAAAAAAAAAAAAATAACTTTTAAAAAAAAAAAAAAAAAAAAAAGCCAAGCACAGAGCAAGAAAGTCAATAGAAATTTTATATAACCACTCCCCAAGACAACGGTAAACTGCGTGAATTGCAAACATGTGCCCATAAAATAAAAATTATTGAAAAATATGTAACTATAACAATCCACAAGACAATGCAGTGGGGGAAGAGATAAATTCCCTCCAGTGGATTTCAGATCTTGGAAAAATGGAAAGAAGAAGAAGAAAAAAAAAAAAGAAAATATAGAAGGAAAAAAAAGGGGCCCAGTGGTCTGCCACCTGCCTCACAAGCGCAAGCTCCCAAGTTTGATCCCTGGTACCAAAAAACTAAAATAAATAAAAAGGGCTGGGAATATAACCCAAAGAAAGAGCACCCCTATGTTCAATTTGCAGTAGTAAAAAAAGAAAAAAGGGGCCGGGGATTTAGTCTAATGGCTCCACCACCTGCCTTGCAAATGCAAGGACCGGGATTCAATTCCCGGTACCAAAACAAACAAAAAGGAAAAAGTATTAATACATTCAAACACCTGAAAATTAAATTTTTTTCTAAGGCTAGTAAACTGAGGAAAAATATTTGCTGTTCATTACAGTCAAAGGGCTAATTTCCCCAATAATACAGAGTTTCTACAAATTGATTGTTTTAGTAGCCAACTAGAAAATTGAACAAAGTACACAAACAGATAATTCACAGAGAAGGAAATACAGGTGATTCTCAACATACGAAAAATGTTCAACATAACCTGTACTAGAAAATGTACCATTTCTTTCGCCTATCAGTTTGTCTGTTTCAAAAGTTGGGTTAAACACTTTTGGTTATGGGGAAAATTGCCGCTCTTATCCACAGCTGGGGGAAGGACAGTGGGGGTGCAAGCTCTGCAGAGAACAATCTGGCAACACTGTCCAACGCACATGCTTTAAGCCAGCAATTTTGGCTATGCAGGGACATTCTGTGTGCCAGGCTATCCACTGCAAGCGCTGTTTACTGTAAGAACAAATGAGAAACAATGGGGTCTGATTGATTATCTTACATTCTTACAATGGACTCTTGTGATTGTGAAAGGAACAATTTATGGACTGGGAAAATTTCTAAGACGTGGTCTAGTGAAAAGTATAAAGTGCAGTGTGTATGGTATGCACAGGGAAGGGGAAGAAAGACTAGATGTATGGAGGTTCATGTTTAGGTATTAAATATGCATAAAATACCTCCCCAAGTAGGTGGCTAGGGGATGAGGGTGAAAAAGGAAACTTTTCTCTTTATGTCTTAGTAGACATTTTGAAGTTCGGACCTGTGGATGTAAAACCCATGCAAAAACCAACTTGAAAATGAGACAACTGGAACAAAAATGAGTAAACTGCAATTCAGCCTCGGGTGAAGGGTCACTTGGAGGGGTGGGCGCGGCTCTCAGGTAGAGTGTGGTCTGGAGGGGTGTGGGATTTGGGGTTAGTGCACTGCTGAACTGGGTTGAGGACCTGCAGGTTAGGGGAGGGAGGGCGGGAATAGAAACCAAGTAAGAGTGTTAGGATGATCTTGGTATGGTAGTTAAGGCTTAAACTAACTTTGCTCCTCTTTTCCTCATGGGAACATAAGCAAGCACGAATTACATAGCCCAACACGGCAAAAGCTTGCGTAGGTTAAAGCAAGAGGGCAGAGGTACCCTAACAGCTACATTCGCATTGTTTTCAGTACCGCGCCTCAGAGCGCGTCAGGTTGCAGTGCCTTTAAGCACTGGGACTCTGCAGTCCAGGTCGCGATCCTGAGCAGTGCGGACAGTAGTGGGTCTTGGGGCTTTACCAGAACTACCCATAGCATCCACCTCGGCAAAGGGTCTCGAGTTCGGGATGAGAGAAGTTTGGGAATTAGTGTATGGGCCACCAAGCGTTACCCTCAAAGGTGGTGTGGGCGGGCTGAGGATGTAGCTCAGTATCACAGCGCCTGCCAGCAAGCACGAGGCCCTGAGTTCGATTCCCAGTAGCAAAAAAAAAAAAAAAAAAAAAAAAAAAAAAAAAAAAAAAAAAAAAAAAAAAAGTAGTCAAAGATGGTGGTGTGGGAAGGTAGGGGTCCGGGACTCGTACAACCGAGCAGGGCGGAGTCCTCTGGCGGCTACAGCTCTGGCCTTGCAGCCCAGGTCCCCTGCTCCGCTGCCTCGAGCCGGGGTCTTTCTATGGGGGTCGTGCCTCAGTTTCCCCTGCCAGGTCAGCGGTCGTGGGGCCCTTTCCACTCCAGCTGCTCCCGGTTCTCAGGAGCGGAGCCCTCCCTCCTAGGACGCTGTCTCAGCCTGGATCTCCACCGCCCCCCGCCGGGCGGCCCCTGTCCCCGCAGTACCTGTGACGCCTACGCCCGCGAGG